CCCCAAAACCCCAAAACCCCAAAACCCCAAAACCCCACAAATGCTAAATAATGACAATTTAGAAAATTTTAAATTATAAACATGATAAGAAGTATAATGAGCTTAGAATAGATAGATAATCATTGATATATTTAGTGATACATGGGGACTCCAATACTATAATAATCCTAGTTTTCATAATCATTAAGATCCCTCTGCTTTTTCAGATTCTCTTGGAACTATTATTTTATTTAAGTCAGCTTAAGATCTAATCAGTTTGTTCCCAACTTTATCATAGTATTCATCAAGATTTAAGGTTCTGCAAATACTATCTTTTTTTTCTGGCCCAGTAAAAACTTCAGCTTAAACAACGAATTCCTTTTTAATTTATATCTCTAGAGATGGTAATTTTGAGATTAGCTTCGTCACAATATTCATGTAAATATTCTAAACCTCTTAAACCTTTCCAATCATAGCCGCTCTTTTCTCTCTCTCTTTTTCCAATACTGTTTCAATAAATTTCTTTTGATCTTCTTTCATTTTCTTTTAGAAATCTTGCTAAAGTTCTTATTAATTTACAGAGTTGCCTATGTCTTTAAGTTATCTTATTAGTTCAATCTAATTTTGTTGCATTTTATGAGCTAGATCTTCGAATTATTTTTGAATAAAGTTGAAATCGTCATCCTTTTTAATGAAACTATTATTTATATCGGCTGTCAAAGTTTCTAGCAGCTAATTACTTTATTATTGCATTGTTGATATATTAGTAAGTATGTCTTATGTGGTATCCTATTCGACTTATTCTTTTTTTAATGGAACATTGAATTTACACTTGATTGCTAGGAGGAATTACTTTATCAAAATATCCACCATCTCCTTATTCGAATCAATAGACCCAATTTTTCTGAAAGATGCCATTTATTAATAGTTTTATTTAAGAGCAGAAAGTTGGCTTTCAAGAAACTTCAATGTTGAATTATAGTAAGTATTTTCATCACTAGCTCCTTTATTTTTGCCATCATTTATTTGTGCCAAAGATTTTTGCATATTTTTATTAAATAATATTGATAAATACTAATTGCTTAAATAGATACTAATTCTCTATTAAAATTCAATATTGGGGTTTTGGGGTTTTGGGG